CAAAAACAGCAGCCCTGTATAAACCAGTCTTTACCAGACTGAGGGCCGGTCCTCAAGTGATCTTAGAGATGTATTCATAATTAATAGGGCTTCAGATAATTACATTTTAACTCAAAATTACTCATATCAGCCTGAGGTTTCATTTAGCAATCTCAGACTGGAAAATCTGATGTTCTACAAAAAGTTGCCTTTGGAGTGGGGAGGGTGGTATTTCATCTTCAAAATTTATAAAACTCATTAGCATGCCCCAAACCTGGTAGATGAAAAACAGCCACAGATTAAAAAGAGCCACAGTCTCTCAACTAGATAATAGAACTGAGGTGATGTCTTCACCTGGCTGGGAGCTAATAAAAAATGAATCGCGGAAGTAGGGGCCTGGCCCTTTCTTAGCTGAATGCAAATTGGGAGTCAGAAATGGCCCCCAGTAGTGAGGAAGTTGAGGAAGGATATGGATCAATTTCGGAGGACAGATTTCCTGGGTTGAATCAGCGAAGGTACATATGTAGACTTCCTAGATGCATACATACACTGATGTATGTATGCATACACTGATGCATACATAAAGGTTAGATAAACAATAAGAGGCAATGCCCTGTGTGTCAGTTCTAGTCATCTTCTAAAAAGAATAGTTGAAATGTTAATATCACCCTGGGATGAGTTCTCTATCCTTGAAGCATTTTTGTTTCAATTTCAGAGAACGAAACCTGTTCATTTGTCTGAACCAGAAATGATAGGATCAGAGATTTGGAAGAGAAAGGGACCCAGGAGAACACTTAGACCATTTCCCCCACCCACCTCATTTTATAGATGTGGAAACTGAGGCCCAGAGAAATGAGGTGATTTAATCAAGGTTAATCTCCTTGAAAATGCAAGGAAATACTCTGGACTTGGCATCAGGGGACTCTATGAATCTAGCCTGACCTTTTCTTAGTCACCTTGGGTAAATCATTCAACTTCTCCAATCTAATCTAGAAGCAGCTAGGTGGCCCAATAGATAGAAAGCTAGAACATGAGCTCCAATCTGGCCTCTCACACTTATTATCTGGGGGGAGGGGGTTGCATCTCCAGTCATCCTGATCCTGAGCTCACCTGACTCTGGAGGAGAAAGTGAGGCTGGTGATTTTGCACAGCCCTCCCTCACTTAAATCCAATTCACTTGCAAGTCATGATGTCATCTTCCTGATGTCATGGTCCTTTTCGAAAACAAAGGACAAACAGCAACACTTATTATCTCTGTGACCCTGAATGAGTCTCTCTACTTCTGTCTGCCTCAGTTTCCTCACTGCAAAATGGAGTTAATAACAGCACCTACTTCCCTATGCTGTTACAAGGATCAACTGAAATAATATTTATAAAGTATTTGCAAATATTAAATGCTAGCTATTACTATTATCATCCTCATTTTTCTCATCTGCAAAATGAGGGTGAAAGGAATCCTGGAATATTGGATAAAGGGTAACCCTCAGAGTCAGGAAGACCTAGATTCAATAAACTCATTCAGTTCCTCCAGGGATCTCTGTTAGACAGTAAGTTGGAACAAGTTAGTATTCTTTTCAGTGGAGTCAGTGTCCACACTGGGAGATGCTTGCTCTGATGAAATATCAAGCCTGGACTAAAAAAGAAAGAAAAGTGGGCTAGGAGTGATGGAAGCAAATAATAATACAGTATTTATAGCATATGGTGAATAATAATATAATATATATGAGGATCAAATGAGATGATGCATACAAAGCTCTTTGTAACAGTCAAGTGCTATATAAATATAAGTAGTTAAAGTGGTAGTAGTAATAGTAGTAGTACAAATAGTAGTAGTAGTTGTTATTGTAGTTGTTGTTTGATACTATCTAGTCACTGGGGCTATATTGTGGAGAATTGTTAAAATAACTTTCTTCTGAAGGAATCATGCTCTTTAAGGATTGGGCTACCTCATGTTTTTATGTGGCAGCTGCTTGCACACACTGATGCACACATTTGGAGATAACAGCAGCAGAGATGTAGGGGAAAAGCTAGGAGGAAAGAGTCCTGGTAGCAGGGGAATATTTGAAAAGCACAAAGCCCTCCCAGGGAAGTGGTGCTCTGAGCATTGTTAATAAATTATTAAACAAGTGATCTTACCATGTGCCCAGAGTTGTGCCAACCACTGAGAGTGGGAACACAGAATAAATAGGACAGGATTTCTGCTTTAAGGAGACTCTAGTTGGGGAACAAATTGCCAAGGAGCATCACATCCAGGAAACAAGAGTGAACAGCACAAGGCAATGTATACTTGTAACCCATTTCCCTGGAGCCCCAAACTCTAGGCTTACATAGATCCCAGTTAAATCTTAAGGGATTCTCTAGAATTAATATCCTCTATGGCTCTTTTGAAAGAAATTAATTCAGAGTATTTATTGGAAGGTCAATACTGAAGTTTAAATGTTAGCCACATAATGAGAAGATAAGACTTATTGGAAAAGACCCTGATGTTGGGAAAGATGGAAGGCAAAAGGAAAAGGGGATGGCAGAGGATAAGTTGGATGGATAGTGTGGTGGAAACGACGAACATGAGCTTGAACAGACTTTGGGAGATAGTGGAGGACAGAAGGGTCTGGCATGTTATTGTCCAAAGGGTCACGAAGAGTAGGACACAGCTGAACAACAACAAAGATGGTTCATGGTTATCCCCATCCAGAAGTCTTTGTGGAAACATCAGAATTTGGTTCACCTTTAGCTCTCCCCAACAAACAACATTTCTTTTCCTTCCTACAAACAAGAGATGCTACCAAGTTCAAGTATTTATACTTTGTCACAAGACGCATAAGGATGGATACATATGGTGCCCTCACAGAAGAGTATACGGTCCCCCTTACATCGAACCTTGGCTTCACCCTTGCAGTTCAGTTCAGAGTCCCTGGAAAAGATTCTTGACACTGGTTGGTGTCAATTACTCAAGTATACAATGGTCCTAGGCCCAGTTCAGTGTCCGCCTGCCCCTGTGTCCTCCGTGGTGGTGACCCTCCATTAGCTCTGGCTTTTAGTATTTGTTATTGGCCCCCAGCTTGCCTCAGGCACTTCTGGCCTTTTCCTTTTGGGTAGGGCCTGCAGCTTCTGCAGATCACCTTCACCTTTCTCCTCACTACCATCTCCTGGACATTGGCCTCCCTCCAATGTGGAAGCCCTGTCACCCAGCAATTCTTTTCTAGGGCATGTGTGGGAAAGTGAGCTCTTTCCATATCAGTGCATGCATCTTCCTGACTCCCTCCTTTCCCCTTACAATACAAAAAAAAGGAAAAGAGGCATGAACCAGGTGCCTATTTGCTGCACATTGAAGTTCTCGTTTGTGGGGTACAAATAGCCAGTGCCATGGGAGTTCAGAAGGGAAGGGGAAACTTGGTCTCTGACCCCTGGGAGTTTAGCATCTAAAGCAGGTGACAGAAAGATGAATAGACACACAATAGTCACATCTGTTGGATTGTAAACTTCCTTAGGGCAGGGATCTCAAATTATCTAAGCTCCATTCTCCTAGCACCTATAGCAGGGCGGGAGTAAAGACCTGTGCACAGTAGGTACTTAATCAATTATTATGGAATTTACAATACACACCTAGTTCAACAGAGTGCTGTTCTTCATACAAGATGTTTTACTGATCCCCCTTCCCCTTGCATACATTTTGAGGTGGTTTTCAACAGTACCGTTAGTAAAGGCTCATCCATCTGCAAACTTGTCCAGTTCTCCCTGTGATCAATTGCATGGATTTCTTAGAGAGAGAAGACAGGGAAGGGATGGTTAGAGATAGTTTCTGAAAATATGAAATCCAGCACTGCTGGCTGGCCCAGAGAGGAATGAACTGCCCAGCTTAGGTCTCCTTAGCAACATGCAGTAACCAATGGAGCTAAGCCAGAGACTAATAAATAACTATAATACCTTACATTTGCATATTGCCACTTGATTGATGAAGTGTGGAAGAAAGAACACTGAACTGAGTGTCAGAAGACTCAAATTTGAATTCTGCCCCTGTTTCCTAATACCTAAAGCCTGGAGCCTGTCACCAAATTTTTCTATCTGTGTGACTTTGGACAAATCACCTAACCTCTGAAGGTCTCAGTTTCCTTAACTTTAAAATGTTCGTTGAGGTTCTTTTCAGCTCTGGAACTATGATCCCAAGATCTTGTGGGAAGCCTTCCCTCATCCTTCCAGGTGTGAGAGCCTCTTTACCTGTTGTATTCCAAAAGACAATAAGCTCCTTGAGGGCAGGGGTTATTTTCCAACACTTAGCTGGGGCCTTGCCTAGGGTAGGTCCTTAATAAATGTTTGTTGAATTCAGTCGATACATAGGGTTGGTGAGGCATCTTCTAGCAGGAATAAGGTGGCATGCAGATAATCCCTAGGCAAGGACATTATGACAAATACTTTGCTCCCTTATCCTTAGGCAAGATATATTATTCTTTTCAGAAGGTGGCTGGTACCATGCAAAAAGCATTGGTGCTAGAGTCAGAGGACCCTACTCAGATCCTGCTTCTAATGATACCTATGTCACTTTGGGCAAGTCCTTTAACCATGCTGAATCTTGATCTCCTCATCTGAAAAATGAGATGGCCTTCCACTGTCCTTTCCATCTCTATGACTACGTATCTACAAATACATACACATGTGTAGATATACATAATATACACAGGCATGTATGTATATTAATATGCTATATATATTCATATGCCACATATATTAATACATATATAACATATTATATATAGTATATTACATATATTAATGTATCTTGCATCCAAATATATATATGTGTATATATTTTTTTGTTTCCTCGGTTTAAATCCCTTCTATAGGAATATTCAGTAATAACATCGCTTTACAATTTATCTTCCGCTTCTCGAGCAAAATTCCTGCTTTTTTCTTTAACTACAACCTTGTAAGTCAGGTATTGCTTCCTTTTACAGATGAAGAAACCAGGGTTCAGAGACACAAGCCAGGGTTTCTAACTCCTAATTCACTTCTTTCCTCACTACACCATGTCTCATCAACAAATAATCATAAGAGAGATTGGTACGTTGTGTCCTGAGGGGCTTGAGATACAGAAAGTCATAGGTTTAAAACTGGAGGGGAACTTGGAGGCCAAAGATTCCAACTGCCTCATTTTACAGATGAGGCAGATGGAGGGTAAGTAATTTGACTAAGTAATTTGACACAAGTACTCAGTGTCCAACATGGGATTTGAATCCGGGTCTTCCTGGCTCTGGGGTCCAGGTTTCTGTCCACTGTAGCATTGCTTCTGCAGAAAGGTTCACATCTGGCAAACCAGCTTTGTTTTTCCCCTCCTCTCAGCTTTCCTCAAAACCAGGTGATTTCAAAACACTAACCGGAAGTACTTTGCACCTACATAGTCACCCCTCCTCCCCTTACTCCTCAGCTCCAAGTGTTAAAAATAGCCATCCAAGAATTCAAACTAGCAAGGACTGTCTGCATGAAGCTCCCTTCATGTACCTGACTGAGAACAAAGAGCAAAGAAACCCACCTTCTAATTTGAGCTTTGTTCTCCCATTGAAAGATGAAGCCTCGTTATCTGCACTTCCACTCATTCTCTGGTTTTGTTTTGTTTTGTTTTGTTTTTGTTTTTGTTTTTTCGCTATTTGGCAGCAACCCAGCGCAGCATCTCTTGGGACTTTTTGGGTGCACCCGGCAGTCACATGAAGGCCGTTAAAATAGAGCTAGTGAAAGTGACATCCCATGAAATTGGTGTGGGGAAAACAGTGAGCTCCATATGTCTGCACAATCAATACTAGTCTTGGAAAGTTTTCCTCCTGATAAGGAGGAGGAGATTTTTTTAAAAATCCCCAATGAGTTGGAGCTGAAAACCACTTGCTACTTTCCCCCCAAAAGTCCTGGTAAGGGTTTAGAGAGAACCTGCCCACTGCTTTTATTCCACAGGTAGGATGAAGCTTAAAATGCAAATATCCTGGGAAGAAGCATACAAATCAGTTTGGGCCCAAGAGGCAGTGTGGTGGAGTCAGGAAGAGTTCACCTCCTGCTTCTGACATTTCCTACCTGTGTGGCTATGGACAAGTCACTTAACCTCAGTGAGCCTCAGTTTCCTTATCTGTAAAATGGAGTTCAACTAGATGGCTTTGAAGTCCTTTCCAGCTTTAAATCTATAATTGTATGACTGATAACAGCCTTTCAGGAGTATGGTTTTAATTTGGGGAGTAGAGAGGGAACACAAGTCCCAGGACATTTGGGGTGGTAGAACAAAAAGAAGGGTGTCAGAAAGGAAAGACTGGGTCTTAAAGAGAATTCAAGTTTGTCTTTACATCCTCAGCCTTACCACGATACTTGGCACCAAGTAGGTACTTAATTAATTTAATTGAACTCAAAACGGAGCTTCATATTTTTTCCAGGGTCTAGCTTTGGCTTTCTCACATCAGGTATTGTCTTTTTAGGATATATCCCTAAGGGAATTCAGTGACTTGAGAAGGGGTTTGAGTTATCCTTATTTTTCTGAAGAAACATCTGAGGCCTAGAGAAGTAAAATGACTAGCTCAAAGGATGGAAAAGCATTTATTAATCACTCACTGTGTGCCAAGCATTTCAGATAGAAGAACAGGTGACTTCCTTTTTTTTTTTAATTTTTGGTGAGGCAATCAGGGTTAAGTGACTTGCCCATGGTCACACAGCTACCAAGTATCATGTGTCTGAGGTGGGATTTGAACTCAGGGCCTCCTCACTCCAGGGCCAGTACTTTATCCACTACACCACCTAGCTACCCCTATGTGATTTCATTCAAGTAGCTTACATTGTAGTTAGTATAGACAACGAGTATAAAAGGGCTCAGCTTCAGGGTAGATGGAATGGCCAAGTGGTCCTTAGGATGTAACAACAGAATGAATAACCAAGAGTCTTGGGGGTACAATGAGCCATAAGGCAATAGGTGGAGAGGTAGTCTATAAGGGTGTAGTGGTAGGGTACATGTCAAGGTCCACCATCTTATCAGAAAGATTTTTGTTGGTGATTCCCTGCTTATCCAAGTGATATCAGTGACCATCTCTGCATCCAACAATTATTGGGATATTTGAGTAGTGGACCCAAAGGCAGGAGTGGAGCAGTGCTCTGAGTTACCTCTAGCATGATGCTCGACATCCACTTGGGAGAAGACTTCCCACCAAGAAGCAGCATGTGAGCAGAATCTTAAAAAGAGCTAAAGATCCTAAGAAGCAGAGGTGAGGAAGGAGTGTTTTCTAGGAATGGGAAAGAGCCTATGCAAAGACAGAGAGCCAGGAGATAAAGGGCTGACTTTGAGAAATAGTAAGTTCGTAAAAAGGAGTAATATGACACAAATTTAGAAAAGTCATATAATGAAAGGTTTTTTTTCTTGCTGAGGCAATCAGGGTTAAGTGACTTGCTCAGGGTCACACAGCTTGTAAGTGTCATGTCTGAGGCCACATTTGAACTCAGGTTTTCCTGACTCCAAAGCCAGAGGTCTATGTACCATCTAGCTGCCCCAAAGAAAGGTTTTTAATGCCAAGGTGAGGGGCTTATGTTTTATCCTAGAGGCAATGGAGAGCTATTGCTCCTTGAGCAGGCAAATGTCATGGTCATGCAAGCACTTGGGAAGTTTATTTTGGTAGGTGCATGAAGGGTGGATTAAAGAGGAAAAAAGACTGGAAGCCAAGAGTCCAATCAGAAGGTTTTGCAATAGACAAGGCAAGAGGCAAGAAGTGATGAGGGTGTGAACTAGGGTGGTGGTCCTATGAGTGGAGAGATGCTGAAGAGGTAGAATCAATGAAACTTGGCAAGGGACTGAATATTGAGGGCAAAGGTAAATTTGAGGATGATTCCAAGGCTTCAAACCTGGATGCCTAGAAGAATGGTGGTGCCCTTTAAGAGAAGGAGAAAAATTTGGTTTATGGGGTAAGTTTAGACATGGAAAGCATTGGGTTTCATTTTAGACATACTGAATCCAAAGATGAATGTGAGCTTATTCTCCAGATCCTAGGATGAGAGAATCAAGGAGTACACCTTGTATCAGAAAGGAGACCATCTTAAGACAATCAAAAGTAAAGAAAAACCCTTTATATGTGTCTCATTGTGTTTTTTTAAAATTATTTTTGTTTCATTAAATTTTCCCAATTACATGTACAATTTTTTTTAACAACCATTTAAAAAAATTTTAGTTCCAAATTCTTTCCTTCTCACATTGTCTCCCTCTGTGAGAAGGCAAGTAGTTTGATTTTGATTTGAGGTCATGCATAGTTCATTGTTACGAAGATTTATCTGTACGCCTGATCTCATCATACACCTGAAATATATAAGCCCCACAGGAGGTATTCTAAACCTTTTCCTATCTCTTTAATCCCCTAACTCTAGCTCTCTCTCATCAGGTGGTCCCTCTCTTACTTTACTAAGATGGAAGCCATCAACTGTGAACCTCCTACTGTGCATAATGCATAAATAGCATTTCTCAGTTCCTCCTTTGCCTGGACCCAGACTGTTATCACCAACCACATTAGGCATTCACCCATGAAGCCCAGTGCTAGGCATGCAAGCATATCTAGTTATCATTATATAAATGAGACCTCCAATTTTCAATTAATCAATTAATTTAAAAAGCATTTGTAGAGGGCATACTTTGTGCAGAATGCTGTGCAAGGTGCTGGAGAAGTTAAAAAGTTTAGATAAGTAAGCAATTTGTCCTCATGGAGCTTCCAGGCTAGGAAGGGTATGTTCCACAAATACAGATTCCTATCACACACAGTAACACATGATAAATGCATTGGAGAGGTAGGAAACAATGGGCAATAATGAAAGGTTTGAGGAAGCTAGAAAAGATTTTGAGTAAATTCCTGTTTGGAGCTTTTCCTTTGCCAGGGTGGGAGACTGGTAAAAAAAAAATAAAGGTCAGCTAGTGTTTCCAGAGAGCTTGATTTCAGAAATCTGGTATTTCAGTGACAGGGAAAGCTGGGAGTGGGGTTGGGGAGGGGTGCCCCACCACTGGTGGTCTACATCAGCTTCTGGCCCTGAGTGATTGACTCTTAGGTTAGCTCCTATGCCTCTTTCCCCCCTAGTGTAAAATGAGAAAGATGGTTACCTTTGCCCTTCTTCTGGTACTAGGGAGCCTTTTCTTAATTAATACTCATTAATGAGGTCATGAATGAATGTAAAGCAAATGAGTGTAAGCAGCAGTCACTTAGATTTGAGTATAAAATCCCCCTTCCTGTTGAAATGGATTACCACTGTAATGTTTTGGGAAGGGAGGGCTTTCGAGGGAAATACAATCCTGTAAATCAAATTCCTGACCTGCAAGGAGAAAGAAAGTCATCAGAAAAGGAGTGTCACGGGATATGGACAGAGACAAGCTCTTTCCTACCTGGCCTGAGATCCCACAGCCTGGCTGTTATACACCATACCAGTGTAGTTTATCATATTAGCAAAAGCATTTTCAAATTCAATTACACTGATGCTGGAAATGGCCCCATGGATGCTGTTAATCTCTGAGAAAGAATTATACCAGGTCTCTAAAGCTTCCCATTTCTAAACCCAATCTTGGAGCATTATTCTAAAGGTTAATTTAAGATCCATCGTCCAAGAGAGAAGTTAAATCTAAGTGTTGGAAGAACTGTCCTCCCTCACTTGACTGACTGAGGGAGTTTATCTGTGTGTAAGAGTTCATTAGTTTTAATTAGCGTAATCACTGATGTTGCATTAACAGTTTAGTGAGGGAAAGTAATTACTCACACATCCACCATATTAGATAGAAAGATGAGAATTCATTTTCCGAGACCATTAACATTTCAGATTAACATTGCAGCAATTAAAAAACACTTTCTCCCAGTCACCATCCCAGTGACCTGCTTACCCACAGATAGTTTAAATTAACCATATCTTTCATCGGGAGAGGTGGTGAGAAATGTAGAATGAAGCCCAAGTTGATTATTTTATAATCCCTTCTACAGCCACACAGCAAGAGTAGAGATCTTGACTAGTTCATAATGTCCTGCTTGATTTGCATAGTCACTGGGTTCAGTCTCTGCATTGGGGATTATAAACTTGGCTAAATTGTTACCCAGAAGCAATAAAGCCCAGTGAAAGCTAGAGACAAAAGAATAGGCAGGCAAGTCTAGATGGATTGAATGCTCCCTAGGTCCAGGAATGGGTATGGCTCACTGTTAGCAGGGTTAAGGGTTCATTATTCTTTCCATCAGGAGCTATAGGTTAGGGCAAGCTATTATATTTGTTCATAGAGGATCTTGGTTTAAATTAAAACATATCACCACCACTGCCAGGCCAATGGGAAATCTTTGTGCCTGTCAGAGACATTCCAATTCCTGAAAGACCAAAGGTCCCTCCAATCCACCCTTTTAAATCATTGAGGGTCAAATGAAATGAAACAGTAGCCATTTCCCCTAGACTAGAAATTCCCTGCTCTCCTCAGCCCTCATCCCTCCACACTCTCCTGAGTTTCAGAAGTCTCCATGACAGACACATCATTTTCCAAGTCAGACACTCAGAATTTTTTTCCTTTTGCAGGTCACTGAGTGTGACCGCAGAGTCCTAGGCCAAGAACATTAGGAACTCTTCCCTGGGGTTTGATGAAGAAACAAATATACAAGGGTCCCAAGGCTGCTGCCTCAGAGTTTAGAGGGGAAAATGTGGAAGGAAGAGACAAGAGGTCTGTGGAGGGAGTTAATTAAGCTGAATGCCACCAGCCCTCTCCAACTAAAGGCACTAATAGAAGAGCCTCATATTTGCTTGGCAGTCCACATGTTTCATCATACTTGTGTATATGATAGCTCTCTGGCACCTCACCAAAGTGAAGAATAACAGTAGAAATACTACTACTACTACTAATTATATAGCACTTTAAATTTTGCAAAACACTTTACAAATAATATCTCATTTAGGGGCTCAAAACAATTCTGGGAAGTAGATGCTATTATAATCTGCATTCTACAGATGAAGAAACTGAGGCATGTAGAGATTAAATGATTTGCACAGGCACATTGCTAACAGCTACTGAGGTATCTTTCTGACTCCAGGTCCTATGCTCTGTCCATTGCACTACCTGGCTGTTAGGTTAGGGATTATTATCTAAATCTTAGATGCTGAGGTAAAGGAGGCAAGGTGTAACAGGGAGAGAACCAACCTTAGTGTTAGGAAGAGCTGGGCTGGTCTCATCTCAGAAACATACTGTCTGGGGGCAGCTAGGTAGTGCAGTGGATAGAGCTCAGCCTTGGAGTCAGCAGGACTTGAGTTCAAGTCCAGACTCAGACACATGACACTTACTAGTTGTGTGACTCTGGGCAAGTCACTTAACCCCAAATGCCTCACCCAAAAAAACCAGCCAAACAAACAAAAAACATACTGTCTGTAAGACCCTGGAAAGTTATTTAACCTCTCAGTGCAACAGGAAACCTAAGACTGTAAGTGGCAGAGAAAGTGGCAATCTTTAAAGGATGAGGGAATTGCCTCAACAGGGATTTCCTAAAACAATGAAAGCATAGGTAGGAAGGGAAGGGAGGGGAGGGGTAGGGAGGGCAAGACAAAAGAGGGCAAGGGAAGAAATCTTATGATTACCATTTGATAGATAAGGAAACTGGCTCTGAGATATTCAATAGCTTGCCCAAAGTCAGGCAGGTAAATGGAAGGAGTTGGGGCAATAGTACAAAGCTTCTGACTCCCACTGTAGGTCTACTACACCCCTGCCACCAACCCCATACTACCCAAGAAACAAATGTATTCAGGCAGCATCATATATTGATGAAACAGGACAGAGAGATTGACAGAGTATTAGCTTTACAATAAGAAGACTTGGGTTTGAATCTGGACTCAATAATTACTAGAACCATAGATTTAAAGCTGAAAGGTGCCTCAGGGGTCATCTGGTCCAACCATTTCTTTTCACAGAATTAAACTGAGGCCCAGAGAAGTTAAATGATTTGCTCAAGGTCACACAGATAATAAGTGGTCTACCATTTATTTGAACCCAGGTTCTCTGATTCTTTCCACTATATCATACTACCTGTGTGATGTTGGGCAAGTCCTTTTACCTCTCTGGGCCTCAGTTTCCTCATCTATAAAATAGGAAGATTGGATTAGATAACCTCTTAGGCTCATTCCAGCTCCAAATCTTATGATACTATTGCCTCAAAACATAGCCATACATGTGATTTCCTTCAAAGGATGGTGGCTAACAGAAGAATGGGGCAGCTAGGTGTCATGGCGGATAAAGTGCCAGTCTTGAAGTCAGGAAGACCTGAATTCATATCCATCTTCAGATGTTTACTAGCTGTGTGACCCTGATCAAATCACATGTTTGCCTCAATTTCCTCATCTGCAAAAAATGAGCTGGAGAAGGAAATGGCAAAGCACTCTGGTATCTTTGCCAAGAAAACTCAAAATGGGGTCACAAAAAGTTAGACACGGCTGAAATGACATAACAGGAGAAGTAGAAATTGGATTAGAGTGGCTCTTTTTTAATAAAAAACATCAAATACATGGTGATTCTGGGTAGAAGAATTGAAAAGATCTCGGGGCTCTACTCATAGCAGCCACAGCTAAGCCACCCACCAAAATATATTATTTCCCAGAATGCTAAATGTAAAGGAGTATGGACCATTAGTATTGGTGTTTTCATTATGGAAAGATAATATTGAATCATGCACAGTACAGAGTCAAGAAGTTGAAATCAGGAAGATCTGAGTTCAAATCCTGCCACAAACTAAGTGTCCCTGGACAAGTCACTTAACCTCTGTTTGTCTAAGTTTCCTTGTCTGTAAAATTGCAGATGATTGTAGTACCTACCTCCAAAGGTTGTTGTGAGGCTCAAATGAGTTAACATTTGCATTTGCAAAATGCTTTGTAAATCTTAATGTGATAGATAAATGCTAGTAATTATTTTAGCACCAACTTTAGATGTGAAAGAAAACACCACTTTTGTAAAGGCAGCAATGGCCATTTTAAAGCCACCAGGGTGCTGGTGACTATCTTTTTGAAGCATGTATGCAGTAATACAGGCAAGAGTTTTGGTACCATTGAGGAGATCAGGTCAGCGCTCTGGACTGATGAAGAGAGAGGATTGTTCTTCTCCCCTTTAAGATGCAAGCACCCTGAGTTCAGGGAATGTTTTTGCTTTTTCTCTCTCCCCAGCACTTGGCACAGTGCCTGTCATCTACACGGCATTTACTAAATGCTTGATGGTTGATTGCTTGATTCTCTTACTATAGCCTCTCCCTTGGTAATTTTCTATTCCCACAATTTCAACCATTACCTCTTCATAGAAAACCGTCAAATCTTTACTTTCAGCCCCGTCTTCTCTCTTTTAAGCCCCAGGCCCCCATTTCCAACTGTCTAAAGAAGATATCTTACCATATATTCCATTGCACCTTAAATTCAACTTGTTTATGAAATATGGTTTCAAAGAATCACAAAATCTCAGATTTGGAAAAACCTCAGAAGGCATCTAGTCCAATGAGTAACTGACTAGTCAACAGTCAAGAAACATTTATTAAGCGCTTATTATGTTCCAAACACTGTGCTAAGTTCTGGGGATACAAATATGGGGGAGGGAAAGACATTTCTTACCCTCAAGGATATCACAGTCTAGTGGGGAAAGAGACAATACACAAAAGGAGACTGAAAAGGGAGAGGAGAAGGAGAAGGTACCCCACTTGGGGTGCATGGTGGAGAAGTCAGCCAAAGAAGTCTCAAAGTAGTGTAGCCTGGGGAGAAATGAGGAGATATCTGAGCTGAACATTCTCTTTAAATAGAGATTTGGAGTTCATGGCCTCACCCTCCAATCAGAGAGGCAGAGGGTAGGGCTGAGGGGGAGTACCAATTCTCATGATATCTTCTAATTACGAATCAAAAAGGCTTAATTATTGTTTTTCCCTGTGAAGTGATCTCTAAGAACCATAAGTTCACAATATACACGCCTCTGTTTCAAAAATACAAATCTTGTCATTTTTACTTATTTGTTGCATTATAATTGAGTTTTTCTCTTCTTTAGCAGAAATCCCAGGCTAGGGTTCTTCTCAGTTATGTCATATCTTCCTCACCTATGGGGTTCCTCAAGAAGCAGGAGTTCTTAATATGGAGTCCATATGCACATACATATATATTATATGTAGATGTATTGTATATATATGTATATTGCATATATGTGGATAGGTATATCTCAATATATCATATATACATATTTAATTATATATTATCATATATAAATATACATATAATAAATATTATATAAAAATACATTATATTAATATAAATATATAAATAATAATATAGGTATAAATATACAGATATTTAAAGTATAGAACTATTTTATATAAATATATTATATATAATTGTAATACTCAAAATATTAAGAGCTCCTACCCTAGAAGCTTCTCAGACTGGGGAGAAGGCCTAGTCCCATTTCTCACTAACCTGTTTCTCTTTCCCTTGCAGTATGTGTCCACCAGGCGTGCAGTCACGCAGAATACTCCAGAGCCAGCTGGCTTCCATCCTCACCATCATATCCACCACCACCGCCGCCACCACCACCACCAACAACACCACCATCACCACCACCGCCATCACTCCCTCCCTCACCTCCTTCACCATCAGGAGGCGGTGTTGCACGAGGCACCGCTTCCCCTCTGCATCTGCCCTTTATTCTCCTGTCAATGGGAAGGCCAGCTGGAGGTGGTATTGTCCCACCTGAGGCAAAGCCACAGAATCGACATCCTCCAGGGAGCAGAGATAGTCTTCCTGGCCACGGACACGAACCTCCCAGCACCAGCTGACTGGATCATTATGCACTCCTGCCTGGGCCACCACTTCCTGCTGGTCCTGAGGAAACAAGAGAAGTATGAGGGCCACCCACAGTTCTTCGCCACCATGATGCTGATTGGAACCCCAACTCAGGCCGACTGCTTCACCTACCGCCTGGAGCTCAACAGGAACCAAAGGCGCCTCAAGTGGGAGGCCACCCCCAGATCAGTCCTGGAGTGTGTGGACTCCATCATCACTGATGGCGACTGCCTGGTACTGAATACCTCCCTGGCCCAGCTCTTCTCTGACAATGGCAGTCTGGCAATTGGGATTGCAATCTCAGCAAGCAAGGTCCATGCCCCTGAAGTTGAGATCTAAAGGACAGAGACACAGACACACACCTCCTGCCTCCAAGAACAGCAAACCATTGGCTGTGTCTCCATGGTTTCTGGATGTCAAGACTCTGGACTTTTTTCTTCTTTTTTTGGTCTCAGGTCTTTTGTGGTTTTTAGTATTTGTCTGCCATGGGCGTTATGTTATGTATACATCCTGTGATTTAAGGTCTCAATATAATGTATTTCCTGTTTGTTGGTAAAATTTTATGTAGTATTTTGAAGAGAGTTATCCAGTAAGAATGGTTATTTCTATCCACCATGACTCTCCATACACACCCATGCACCCAAACACATGCATATGTATATGGGTGTGATTGAACAAAACTAAATAAGTTCGTGAAACCATTAGCATATGATTGGGCAAAACCCAGCAAGTCCATGAAATCAACTAGAAAGATACATGGTGTCTTAAAAGAACTAGGTTACTTCTTCCTCCTATCTGTTTCATAACTGGCTAAATCTGGAGTGTCTATTTCCAGCATGTCAAGTAAAAAGGTCTAGTTGATCCAGACATCTGGCAACCCCTAATTAGCACTTAACCACAAAGATGACATCTGTATGCAGTATTGGGGGCAGGGATAGGAATTGTAATATGTATTCCCTACAAATATAGCCCTGTGATTCAAGATGGACATTGAATACTAAGTGCAGTTTTAGAAGGCTCTCATAGGTTTCTTCTACTTTAAGAGACAGTGTTGTTCATTGGAAAGAGCACTGGCCTTGGAAGCAAAGGATCTGGGTTCAAATCCAGCTCTCATTTGTCACCCATGTTAACTTTGGTATTCTTTTTTATCACAGGATCATGGGAATTTACAGTTGGAAGGGACCTTAGAGATCATCTTGTCCAACCCCCTCATTTTACAATAAATGTTTACTGAATGAATTTTATGGATGAGGAGACAAGTCCAGAGAGTTAAAGGTCACACAGATAGCAAGTAACAGAGTTGGACCTTGGTCCCAAATTTTCTGACTCACAAACCAGTTCTTTCCCAATAGAAGAGGATAATAGTGAGTCTTATCTTCCCTTGAACCAGACTCAAAATCACCTTTTTTGATGCTCTCCTGAGCATTCTCTTTTCCTGTAATTTTCAAGATGAATTCACTGTGACATCAAATGTGAGAGAAGGAAGTAAAGGGAGAAAAAGCCAAAAAAGAAAGTAAAGCAGGCATGTTCTCTCTCTGAAACGGAGTATTTCCCCAGATAGTCTGCTTCATGATGCAGTTATGAAGCATGTCAGTCCCTTCATCTGGCTCTTAATACTTTATAACTTATAGCTCCATAATGACATTGACTAGGATGAGCTTAGAGTACAACACATAGATCCCATGACATAAATGAGAAATAACCCATATTCAAAATAAAGGGTCCTCTGTTTTGTCTTCAGCAAACAACTAAACAGCATCCTCTTCATAGGTAGTCCTTCATATATTTGAATTCAATGCAATGTAGTGATATTGATTCAGTACCTATGATGGGCAAGGAAATGGTAGAGTACATGCAGATGAAGAAGACTAGATTCCTGCCCTAGAAAAGCTCACTACTTCCCAAGAGATTTTTCTCACTCATATTATATATTCTAATCCATGGACACCACCATTCAACATATAAACATGATCATTGGAAATGTAAATACCGTTGGCACCCATTGGTCCATACATTGGTGCTGAATGTTATGCAAAGCAACTTAGGTGAACCCAGAAGCTATCCTTTAAGAGTTTAGGATTCGTTTGGCCTTAAGTTCATTGAATGAGAAACATTTAGGGCAGGTGGACATCTATTCTCCAGAAACAAATGCCATGAGCCTCCTCTATAGCCCATTTTAATACTTTGTTACCTTAAAGGTCAAGAGTTTATGCTAATATTCAACCCAAATCTTTCCTTGATTTCATTTAAGCCCATTTCTTTTGTCTTCTGTGGACCTAGAAATCACTGGTAGGGGTGGGAGGACATCATCGTCATTAATAAATAAACAGAAATTTAGTAAGCCTACTATATGCTAGGTACTGAGGATACAAAGATATTTGCTACCTTTATAGGGTAACATCAGGGGAAATAACATGTATATATGCATATGCAAAAAAAAAAAAGGTCTTTTTTTTGGCAGGGGGAAGCCCTTCTAACATTTGGATTTGATTAGCAAACATTTATTAAGTTCCTAATCTATGCAGCAAAGTTTGTGGACTGCTGTGGGGATATGGGCAAGACATAAGCATCTAGTAGGGGAGATGACAGATACAAAAATCATTACCAAAAAAGGAAGATTGTTCTTAATTTTATGGAAGAGCTATAAACAAAGAGCTATGGGAGCATAGCAGAGGAAGAGATTACTTTTAAATATCAGGATCAGGGAAGGCTTCATGGAAGAGATGGAATTTCAGGGTTGGAGGAGACTCCTGAAACTAACTGGTATAACTCTCATCCTAAAAAGAATTCTCCTTAGAAAATATCCAAGAAGCATTCTCAAAGAATAGGTTGAATTTTAGCAGGCTGAGATTGGGGGCAGGGTAGAAACCTCGAGATTGCAGAACCTATTTGGGAAGCAGTGAACAGTCCAGTTTTTCTAGAACAGCAGTCCTCAAACTTTTTAAATTCAAGTCTTCTTTACACTCTTAAAAGTTTTTTTGAAGAACATCCCCCCATGAGCTTTTATTATGTGGGTTAGATCTATTAAACATTTACCATATTAGAAATTTAAATGTTGGAGGCAGAGCAAGATGTCAGAGTTCAGGGAAGAAGTCAGCTGAACTCTCCCAACATTCCCCTACAAATAACTCTTCAAACTGAATTCTGGAATGTCAGGGTTTTTCCAGTCCAAGACAACTTTGGAGGCAGGCAAGAAAGGTCTGTGAAAGCAGGGTGATGGGCAGCCTGGAGTGCGGTACATACCGAGGCAACAGCAGCAGCAGCAGGCCTTGGAGGCAGCTGCAATAGCAGCATCAGCAACTTTGGGAGCTTTCAGCCCACAGACAGTAAGGGGATTAGACAATTGGTTGGAAAGAGATTACAGGGGACCCTTTGCTGGCACTGGGTTCAGGGCCCTATTGCATTGCCTATATGCAGTGCCAGGTCACACTTCCAGGGTAAAGAAGAGCACTACAGCTTGTAGCCACAGAGGATCAGAGGCCCTGGCCATAGCTCTAGGGCAGACAGGAGCGCTTGTGGTCACTCACAATGGAGCAGGAGACCTGATTTCAGTTCTAAGGCAGAAAGGAACACTAACTCTTGAAGCTGCAAGAGGGCAGTGGACCTGGTCACAGTGCCAGGGCCAAGAGGAATACTTGTACTTGCCACTACAGGAGAACAAGGTCCCTTTCTGGGTAAAGACCAGAACACAGGTCAGGAGAGCAGCGACCACACCTCTCTTTGGATCATACCATCTTATAAACACTAAAAACTTCATAGATCTCCAGAAGTAGGTCTGAAAATAGCAGCATGAAAAACTTGAAACTTGAGACAGTACTCCTTCCACAATACCCCAGAATTCAATTTTAACATGAAGTTAAAAGTCAAGAAATAGGCCAGAAAAGGGGGGAACAACAAAAAAGAACCTGATAATTAAAAACTACAATGGTGACAGGGAAGATCAAGACAAAAACTCAGAAGAAGACAATGCTATCAAATAGCTATGAGCAAAGCTTCAGAGAAAAAAGTGAATTGGACACAAGTTCAACAGGAATTCCTGGCAAAGCTCAAAAAGGATTTTAAAAATCAAATAAGAGAGCCAGAGGGAAAAATTGGGGTAAATGAGAGTAATGCAAGATCATTATGAAAAGACAGTTGGTAAAAATTATTATTAAAAATTATGAAGAGGGCTTGGTAAGAGGCACAAAAGTACTAAAGAAAATACATTAAAAAGCAGAAATGGCCAAATGGAAAAAGAGATACAAAAGCTCACTGAAGAAAGTAATCCCTTAAAAATTAGAATTGGGCAAGTGGAATCTAATGACTCCATGATACATCAAGAAACAATCAAAGTCAAAAGAAGAAAATGTGAAATATCTCATTGGAAAAACAATTAACCTGGAAAAATAGATCAAGGAGAGATAATTTAAGAATTATTGAACTTCCTGAAAACCATGATTTTAAAAAGTGCTTAGACACCATATTTTAAGACATTATTAAGGAAAACTGTCCTGATATACTAGAATCAGAGAGTAAAATAGAAATGGAAAGAATCCATTGATCACCACCTGAAAGATATCCCAAAATGAAAACTTCAAGGAATATTATTGCCAAATTGAAGAGCTCCCAGGTCAAGGAGAAAATGTTGCAAGCATCCAGAAAGAAATAATTCAAATATTATGGAGCCACAGTCAGGATCACACAAGATTTAGCAGCTTCTACATTAAAGGAGTACAGAGCTTGGAATATCATATCCCAGAAGGCAAAGGAACTAGGATTACAATCAAGAATAACCTACCCAACAAAATTGAGTATAATCCTTTGGGGGGGGGAGAATGGATATTTAATGAAAGAGAGAACTTTTAAGCATTTCTGATGAAAAGACCAGAACCAAATAGAAAATTTGACTTTCAAATATAAGACTTCAGAGCAACATAAAAAGGTAAACATGAAAGAGAAATCATAAGGGACTCAATAGCATTCCCATGTGGCAAGATAATACTTGTCATTACATTCCTATATGGAAATATGATACTTGTTATTCCTATGAACTTTATTATTATTATTAGGACAGTTAGAAGGAGTGTAAATAGATAGAGGGCATGAGTATGAGTTGCCTGTGATGGGATGACTTCAAAAAAAATTAAGGGGTGAGAAAGAGAAGATTCCCTGGGAGAAGGGAAGGGAGAGAACTGGGGAAATTATCTCACATAAAAAAGAAATGAAAAGAAGAGCTTTTGCAGTGGAGGGGAAAATGGAGAGGGGAAGGTAGTGGACAACACTTGAACCTTACTCTCATTGGAATTGGTTTGAAGAGGGAATAACATACACACTCAGTTGGGTATAGAAATCTATCTTACCCAACAGGGAAGTAGGAGGGGAAGGGAATAAAATGGGGGGGGGGAAGGATGATAAAAGGGAAGGCAGATTAAGGGAGGCAGTGGTCAGAAGCAAAATAGACTTTTGAGGAGGGGCCACATAAAAAGAGGAAAAAGGATGAACTGGGAGGGGGATGAAAAGAAA